AAAGATTGTCTTTGCATTCCAATTTGAATAAAGGAACTTGATTCTGTATGAGAAATGGATGAATGTTTTGTTTGACAAAACATTGTTCAATGATTAGATTATTGTAATCTAATTGATTATCTCTATAGTAGAGATGATATGGTAGTGTTAACTGTTTAGAATATAACGATGCTTAAAACCCAAAAGGTTGCAAGGTAGTGACTAATCCCAACTGAGTTGTGATACCTCTAAAACATAAATTACGAGTTGGACATGGATGTTTTGGATCATTAGATCAGGATCCAATGCCTTCTTGTTAAAATTGTATAGAGGCAAAATGTTTGAATCTTTATTTTTTTTGAAAGGAAGAAAGAATCACAAAGTTGTTGAGGTTAATTCACTTAGATGTTAGTGGCACTTGTCCACAACATAATACTACTCATGTTGTATGACATTCATCGAAGATCGCTCTCGGTTGGACTATCGTTTATTTTGAATAAACACAAGTCCGAATACTTTGCAAAAGGTTTCAAAGAATTCAAGAATGTAAGTTGATGAATAAGACGTCTAAAGTATTTACCTCCTTAGATTTGATCCAAGGAAAGGTAACACTTTAGAACAGTTTCCTTGAAAGATATCAAGGAAAGAAGCATCATAAGATAATGGATTTCTCCATTAAGAGAAGAACGAACTTGAATAAGATTTAGTTTGTTGGATGTTATCAATTACCCATATATAGGATATATACTTCTAAGACAATATGATTGTCAATTAGAAGATCTTCCAAAATTTTCATGACTCCATAGGATGTAGTTGGAAAAAAAGATAAGTCTTAATCGTGTTAAGATTTGGGGTTGTGTGCTAATAAGCAATATTTGTTTGAGAATTATCTTGTGGATATCCTTAAATTAACCTTTCCATATCACTTCTATAAACCAACTAACAAATTTTGTTTTGTTGGGTAGTTCATTGTAATCTTCCAATGATTTGCCTAACGCAAATGAACGAGAGATAGAACTCAAAGAATGGGTTCTTTGAGAGACAAGATAATCAATAAATATAACAACCTAATTCCTACACCACAAGCTCCAAGGTAGTCGAGAAGGATTTATAAATCGTCTCAGTTGAATGGTTTGAACTTTATGACTATGTCATAGAGTTACACCTCTTAATTCGAAAGAAATAAGAATGAAAATCCTTATGACTACATTGAGTGTACATACGACATATACTCAAGAAAATGGTAAAGTACCATTTGACCCGAAATAGTGAAACCTTTAATAGCTAATTGGTAGCTTAAGGTAACTGCAATCAAAGAGATTGGTTGACTTGGAAGAAACCATCTTTGACGTAGTCTTGGTTTCAATTAATTCAAAGATTGCTAGCTACAACTAAATGATGATTCAATGTTTGGACATAATATGGGTTTCTGAAACCATTATTAAGATAGTCTTGATAATATATGTCTAAAACTATGAATCACAAGACATGTAAGTTGTAGAGATCTATCCATCATGAATCTTAGCAAACTAGTGGGAGCTATAAGAGTCTTATGAGAGAAAGATCAAATCGTTTGATTTCTCATAAAGATGTAAATGAATCTTTTGTTTACTAGGTTTACAAAAGATTAGTGGGAGTCAATCATGTTCCTAAATTTGAATATATACATATATGATATATTAATTTTGGAAATGAAAAGAATATTTTTTCGTTAAAGTTATGACTTTAAACATTCTATAACGATAGAATGTATATGGGAGACATAGTCTATAACACATGGGATGGAAATCTATAATGATAGATTTCATGATATAATTGGATTATATTAAGCATTAATGATAGACAAAAGATGCTAGGAAGTTTCTCATATGATGATAAACTTCAATCAGAAGAACAACTCTAGTGAGACTAAGAGGTAGCTCTTCTTAAAGGAAATGTACCCTTTGACTCCCAAAGAAATAATGCATAAATAGAATCCTTTATGTATACGCAGAAAGGTGATTTATGTATTTCATATTGTATGAAAAACGTTGATATGAGTTGTACCAAGATCGGTACAAGACGATATCAATGCAAGCCCAGGATCAGAACCATGGCAACTGTCAAGTGAATCCTTAAGTATTTGAGAAATAATAAAGGATGGATTCCTCAAGAATGAGGAAGAATTAGAGTAACGTAATGGAAGCGTAAATGTATTAGATTATGAATCTAATCCATCATTGGATGTTTCTTCATTATGAATAAAGAGATAATCAAATATCTCTTTATTATGACTAAAGAGATATTTGGATGGAAACATTAAAAGTAATGACTTTAGTGTGTTCCATTGTGAATGCAAAATATATTGCCATATAGAAGCTTACAACAATGTTGTTTGGATGAGAAAGTTCATTCATGAACTCTCTATTCGGTTCTAACCATAAAGTGTCTCTAGTGTACCAACACTATGACACTAATGGGGCGATAGCTCAAGCCAGTGAATCAAGGTCTCATCATGATCCAAACTCAAATGAGAGACTAAACCACATGATTAAGAATCATGTATAATGGTGACGTCATTATTCTCAAGGTTGCTTCTATGGATAACATATAGATATCCATTGTCTAGGCCTACTACTCAGCCATTATTTGAAATGACTACAGAAGAGGTATCATCATTGATGACCAAGCTAATTGGTTCTAATGCAAGTGGGAGATTGTTGGAAATGTGCCCTAAAACCAATCATATGATGATACTTTACGGACATTTCACATGTTAAACTAATATAGTTTAATTTAAAGGGCAAAGATTATTGTTTGAAGCCGTCTCATATAAATGTTATACGCTTAAACGATAAGTCCAAGGAATATGTAATTGGGAGAATGCGATCTAAAGAAGTTAGATTCATGAGACCATTCTTTTTCGTATACATATCCTAAACGTTCCTGGTCATAGGATTGCCAATTAGGCATTGACAGTCCGTTAAGATCAGTACGTGTTAATTCTTCTCTTAGGGAGAGTGACTAGTCTCGAGTCATTGGTGTGACTGACACCAAGACAAGTACGTAGATGCTCAATAGAGAATGAGTTCACTGAACGCGATCAACAAGGAGTTCTCATAGTCATGTCACATGAGAACTCATGGTTGGGATAATGCAAAGTAGTCCTTTGACCTAAGGCATCATAGTTGTCTTGTGGTTAGGTCCTTGATCTTTGATTATGTCAAAGTCACTCCATCCGAGGATGTCCACGACATAGTTGGGGTTAAGCCACTTAGCCATGGACAAGTGAATACGCAACAAGGGATCTCTAACCTTCAAACAGTTTGAGGGAGAATACTCTATGATATGATTAAGAATCTTTGTCCAGAGTATGAATGAGATTTAGGAAGTCGTTCCAAATCACATTCAAGGTAATCATATAAGTAAATGAATCACATTGGATAGTAGACATGAATAAACTATCAATCCAAACAATGTGGTCAAGAGTATTATATTAGAGAAAAACCGTATTGTATTGTAATCCTAAACTGAATAGGTTTTCCACCTCTTCTGATTAGCTTGGGTAACCATGACATATTGCTAGGTGTCACTCATGGTTTTTGGAAGCCCTAAACGTGTATAATCACTAAAGGGAGAATTGAAAGTAAGTTTCAATTCACAATCGATTTGAAAGAGTTCTAATCACCCACTACCTCGCTAAAAGGAACCTAATGGATCGTACACCGTGTAAGGTAGAGAATGAAGAACAACGGAGATGAGTAAGGACAATTAAATGGTTTAATTGTTTATGGCAAGAATTAATTAATATGTTAATTAATCAAATGAATAAGTTTGTTTTAAACCTTGAGTTAGTTTTGGGCCTTAAAGCCCAAATTTGACTTCGAATCGTCAAGCCCATTAGCTTAAGTTGTATGACAACTTAACAAACAAAATTCAAGAAGCCCAAAACAGCCCAAAGGCTTGGGAAAACCGGCCATATAGAGAGGGGTAGTGAACTTGGCTTAATTGCAAGTTTGCCACTCCATTATGAGGTGGTATAAAAGCAACTTTATAGCCATTTCATCCTTAGGGTTTCTTTTGGAGAAAAGATGAGAACACAAGCTCCCTTTTCTCTCTAAGAGGCCGGCCACCCTAGAGGATTTTAGCTAGCAATCTTACTTCCTCTAGGTCACTCATCTCTTCTTCAAGTCCTTCCTTGGTGTGGAGACTTAGAGGTTCTCAACTTTGGAAACTTGGAGAATCCTTTCAACCATCTTCATCCAAGAAATCCATGGAGCTAAGAAGCAAGGAATGAAGGCCCTCACCTTGGGTGATTAGCCTTTGCTTATGCAAAGAGGAATCAACAAAGGTATAAAATTTATCAACTCACTTTGTTCTTGAGTTGAGTCTTGGTTCACATAACTACTAGGCTTTGAATTTCATGGGTAATGTTTTGTTTTGAGTGCATACAAGCATGATTCCGCCTTTAATTGTTAATTGCATGTCATAGATGTTGCTCAAATGAATATGTTTCTCACAAAATTTCCTTCATCAACAACATTGCAACTATTTATTATCACGGTACAACGGAAACAATTATTTTCTTTAAAAAAGCACAACAATACCAAGTTAGTTCTTAGTACTATGGTATAGTAGTACTCATTTTCACTTGTAAGTGAGAGGTCTTAGATTCGATTCTCGTCAAAGACGAAATCAAACCACATTATTATGGCTGACCCAGTGTGAAGCTTAACTCACTCCCTAATTCTTTTAGTGCAGATACTATCATTTATTTAAAAGAAAAAAGGTATACTATTTGAATTTTAGAGGGTTAAGTGAGACTCAAATTGAGTTTCAAGAAGCATTATCGTAAATAAAACTAAAAAAACAAAAAAAATTATGATATTACGAAGTATTCTATATTTTTAACTTTTAACCGTTAAATTTTAATTTTTGTCAAACATTTAGCAGTTTCAAAATCAAGAGTTTCGATACTAGGGACCATCGTAGAAAGAAAATCCCCAAAAAAACAACAAAGGATGGTTCAGTATCCTACTTTTGAAATGGGTCTTTATACAGACAGATTCAGTATCCGACTTTTCAGACCTCCCAGTCCCAAGTGCTGAGTTATGTCAGAAAAACCAATCCAAAAAAACCTCCGAGTTTTATAGGTGGCGTTGAAAAAAAAACCTCCGAGTCGCTACTCTTTCATTTTCCAAGTCCCTCAGAAGAGAAGAGAAGAGAAGGGAAACCTTCATCTGTTAGAAACTCCCAACCTGCAATTTTAACAGGTCAATTGCTCTTTCCTTTCATAATCTTGCTCTTTTAAGTTGTTTCTTCGGTTATAAACTGTTTCCAGTTATCCTGCTTTATTTGCTTTCTCTCTCTGTAGATCTGCGTGTCCAGTTCACATTCCTCTGAATTGTAGCTCAAGTATGAATTTTCCCTTTTTGTTTTTGTTGCTCTGATTGTTTGATTTATTGGAAACTTTCCAACTTCTTGTTTGTTTTGTTTTTCTAGTTTTGGACTTAATATTTATGCTCGTTGGATTGCTTGGTGGCTGTACTGCTCTTCGAACATCAAACCCGATGCATTGACCTGTTATTGTCTCTCTTGTAAATTGTAATCGTAATGCAGAAATGCCGGTTGCTTGTTTTTGGGTTTATGCTTGATTCAGTAGAACTTTGGGAAAGGATATTGTTTATTGTTTAATGGGTTTATTGTAATAAGAGTGGCTTTTTTATATCGTTGTAATTGAGCTCAGAAGTGGAGGAATCGATGGGATTAATGGGTTTGTTTTAAAAAGATTTTGTAGGTAAGTAATGAGTTGTGTTCTACATTGGGGATTTAAAGTCTGCATTTTGGATTGAGGCGGAAGAATGATTAGGAGAAAAAGCATGGGACGTGCATCGCCAGTACTTTTGGTGCTTTTAGCACTTGGTTTTTTCTTTGCAACTTATAATTTGTTAACCATTATAATACACAACAAGGCCTCCTACTCGGGCATTTTGGGGGAATACCGGTTGGAAGATCCTGTGATTCAGCGGCCCTCGAAGGCGGAGAATCCAAAATTTCATGTTGTTGTTACAGCCACTGATGCTCCGTATAGCCAGTGGCAGTGTCGGATCATGTATTACTGGTACAACAAGGTAAAAGATATGCCTGGATCAGATATGGGAAAGTTCACTCGAGTTTTGCATTCTGGAAATGCTGACAATTTGACGGAGGAGATTCCAACAGTTGTGGTTGATCCTCTTCCGGAAGGCTTGGATCGGGTGAGAATATTTTTTGCCACTTTGTCTCAGTTCTCTCTCTCTCTACTTGCTATTTAGTTGCCATTCTTTCTAAGTTGTAATCTTCTTCTGTGCTTATGCTGTTTGTATAACGTTTCAACTTATTTCATGAGCTAGTTCATTAAGGCATTATTGGTACAGGTTGTTTCATCGCAAATATTTAACATAATGAACAAAACTAGTTGGGCAGAAATTTGATATTGAGAAAATCACATGTTAGAAATGTCCCTACATATTGTTAGTTATAGAAGAGCCATTTATCATTCCATTTTATGAGAGAGGGCTCCTATGTATGGAGAATGCAATGTATGTTGCTGGAGATTACTTGAACCATCAAATCCCAGCATATTTGTCAAATGGGTCTCTTCCTATATTGTTTCAGTAAATCGTAAATGCAACTATTTTGTTTTTAATTGGAAGATTTATGCTTTCCTAACCACAATGTTTAATCTCTGTAGGGACTTAGCAACTAACATATTTAAAGAATTTATTCCTTATTTTTAGTGTCCCTGAGAAGATTAAAGAACTTAATGTCTGTAGTGACTTAGCAACTAATGTTTAATCTCTGCTACCAATTATTCAGACTTCAATTCAATGTTGTATCCAGGGCTATATTGTCCTAAACAGACCATGGGCTTTTGTGCAATGGCTGGAGAAAGCAACAATCGAGGAAGAGTAAGGGTTTTTTTCTCTATCCTTCCCGTTTGAAGTTCTTGTAAAATTTTCTTCACTATGAATCAGAAAACTGGTGTCTGTCATGATCAATGCAGATACATTCTAATGGCTGAACCTGACCACATATTTGTAAATCCTTTGCCAAACTTAGCACGTGGAAACAATCCAGCAGGGTATCCATTTTTCTACATTAAACCAACCGAAAATGAGAAAATAATTAGAAAGTTTTATCCTGTGGAAAAAGGCCCTGTGACTGATGTTGATCCAATTGGCAATTCTCCTGTAATCATAAAGAAGGTAAAATAACGTAGTGTTAATATAGCTTTCAGTTTACGTGGTTATGGATTCTGAAACATTTATTGTCATATAGTGTGGTAGTGTGCTGGTGCATGCCAGTTTGTAAATGATTTATCATTTCCTCACCGTAGCTCTGGCTGTCCTGCAATCAGGCAGACCATTTTACTTTTGCTACAAGGCATAATTCTGAAAATAATTTGGAAAATCAATGGCATCCATCAGATTGGCAATTTACCTTTGAATCATAAAGAAAATATTTTATCACTAATGTGGTTTATGAATTGTTGTGATTTTAAATGATGGAACATTATTTATTATGTATACATCGCTCTGCTGCATGTCTATACTTGTATTTATATCATCTCTGCGTCGTATTTATAGTTGTGCCATCAGGCTGACAGTTTCACATTCACTACAAACCGTACTTTTGAAATGCATGCTCACTTGGTTATCTATTTCAGTCCCTGCTGGAGGAAATCGCTCCCACATGGGTGAATGTGTCTTTGAAAATGAAAGATGACCTAGAGACTGATAAGGCTTTTGGATGGGTGCTTGAGATGTGAGTACTAAGCTTGAATTATAAGTTAGTTTTGGTCTGATGTGTTGTTTTTTATCTGATGTTGGTGTCATTTCTTTGCTGCACTAAGGTATGCATATGCTGTGGCATCTGCATTGCATGGTGTGCGGCATATTCTTCGTGAAGACTTTATGTTGCAGGTTTGAATGATTATTTTTTATTTTGTATGTATTAGTTATCCTTTTCTTCTAAGTAATTTGATTTTGTCCAATCTTGCAGCCTCCATGGGATTTGAAAGTTGGGAAGAGGTTCATCATCCATTATACTTACGGATGCGACTATAATTTAAAAGTATCCCTCTTTCTCTATCTCTCTCCTTTTTTTTTATTTTTTTTTTTATTTTTTTAATGGATGGAACTGCAACTATTTCACTGTCGACCCTTTTGCATGTATTTTTACGATTGTTTCCTTAGTATTTATTTGTTTCTGAAAGAGTTTTTCTGTCAACATTTAGGGAGACCTGACTTATGGTAAGATTGGAGAATGGCGTTTTGACAAGAGAGCATATCTCAGTGGTCCTCCACCAAGAAACCTCTCTTTGCCCCCTCCAGGAGTTCCTGAAAGTGTGGTAAGTCTATTACTAATATGTTCAAAAGGCCTGTTTGAGAATATGTTTGCGGGATCTGGTGTGGTTGGTTAATGCTGTTATTAATTGGCAAGAAAGAAAAATTTCAACGAATATTTTGTCGGTTTAGTGCGTGCATTATTTGGCTGAATTAAATCTAAGGCATAATATTGTCGTCTGCTTTCATGCACTTTAACTTTTCTGCATTCTTTAGAAAGAAAATATACTGCTAGGGAAAAATCAGGCCAATGGAATTACTAATTAGCGAAAATAAAGGGAGAAGTCGTGCACCATGTATGGGATTTTCCATATGAAGTAATGTTTGTTTATCATTCTGATAACTGGAGTCCACATGCTTGTTATGTCATGAGATGATACGATATGAGTCATTCATCATTCAATCATCCAGTTAATAAATGTTTCGTATGCAGGTAAGGCTCGTGAAAATGGTTAACGAGGCTACTGCAAACATTCCTGGTTGGTACAGCTAAACCAGTGGTTGAGATGAAAAGTAAGATATAAGCCCATCAGTTCTTCTCTTGCTTACTGATATTTTAAACGCTGTCAGCTTGTCACCGTTGGGGAGGTTCTGTCGATACAAATTTATGTAACAAAAGAATATTTATAGTTAGATAAGGAATGTCTTTGGTGAGTAAAGAATGATCTTTTGTTGTTGATGCACATTGACAGAAGGCCATCAAGGCTAATTAATTCTTTTGTATACCATACATTCTCATGTTACAAATTTTTGCACTTTGACCTCACAATAAGATTTTGGATTGCGGTTTGTCTTCCCGGGATGTTTACGAGTTAACAGTTTAAGGTGTTTTCTGTTGAATCTTTATGCCTTTTTATTGTCCTATAAACTAAATACTAGGGTTGGGATTGATTAAAAGCGTCTTGCCAGACATAATGGGCGATAGGCAGAGTGAAGCTCGAGTAAGAACGGTATCAGATGCCGAATATGTTGCAGTTTGATTACTCGGAATTCTTTGAGCGTTATGATCAGCCTTCGCTTCCTAACTTGAGTGCTTAAGAAGGGGCTTAAAGTATTCAAAAGAGAGGGAAATTTATCTTCCTGATACAAATATAAAGTTTATGAACTTGGAGATCGAGATGGGAGAAAAAATTCGATGTATAGAACATCATGAAATGCTTCATTAGATTATTTCATTTCATTTCTTTCCTTGGATTTGTATAACTACATAAATATATGACTGCTCTATACATATACACCTCAGGAACCACTGCTAGATTTCTATGGGTGTTCTGGTGAAGTTTTGGATGATCTCGAAGTAAGGGAGGGCCTCATCTGGACAATCTGTTCCTCGTTAACTCCCATTCTTTTAGCATAAAGCCCCGCTTCAAAGAATCGTTTAACTGCATCATCGGCGTATTTCTTCCCATCCTTGACAGTCATCTCCTTCCCCGTCTTTTCTGGGTAACTTGTAAATATGTTGTCTCCTTTCAGAACTGCTGCGAGTTGCATCATCTCCTGTTGAAATTCAGTAAGCTTGGCATCTTCATTAGGCTCACCCTTTCTGATGGCAACTGGCGTCGGTAGTTGCTCTAGTAAAAATTTCAGGCAATTGAGACATACATGTTAGTCAATGCTTTTGCTATGCAGGATTAACTCATCAACATTACAGGTAACCTTCTCCTGTTTTGATAGCTAGTAAAATATAACTAACCTGGGCAGTCAGTTCTGGGTTCTGTCCGCGTTTGGACAATGCTTTCGAAGGTGCCGGCCCATTCATCCCTCTTCGTGAGGAAGGGTGCGGTTAGGTTGAAGATCTTCTTAACTGTTGCTGGAATAGATGAATGTTCAAATTCCGAAGTTGGAGATGGTGATCCATTAGGCCCATGGATGACTGCATTCATCATCGTCAATGCAAACAATAAGCTGTTAAATCATTAGTTTTTATTATTCTAAACATATTCTACTTTGCTAGAAATCAAAGCTTATGAGCATTAGTTCCAACGAAAGCAAAGCTTACTAGCAGATGATATTAAGTAACAAATGTTCTCATCAATTAGTAAACTAAGTTTAACGCCACTCCACTTCTGTTAAACTAGCCTGTAATTGTCCCAAAGTTCAACTCATTTTGTACGTACAAAATTTGGATAAACGAGCAAAATAAGGAAATTTATTTAGATTACTGTATCGAGAGTGCGTGTAAAGGTGAAAAATGGTGTGCAGAAGTCACCGTCCTGGGCATACTTTTGCCATCCTTCTTTCTTTCCAAGATATTTAAATTTATCTTACTTTTGTGCCGTGTGCTTGCTTATGTGCCTCTCGCAAGTTAACTAACAATCTCAACAAGGGAGGTGATTTTCACCTCTTTGTTTATTGTCAATTGGATTGAATTAAATCAACCAAAATAAGTGACACGATTAAACATGGGTGTTTGAGGGACTAAATAGGGTGTGTGTATCATTTCTCTCTCAACAAACCTGTTAACTGCCTCACATATATTAGCTGATTAAGGGCTTGTTTGGAAGTGCATTTAAAATAACTAAATGCAATTATGATGAATATGTTTTTTAAATCAATTCTTAGCAAAAATCCAAATGATTCTAGAAAAACATTAAATGTTTCCTGTATGAAGCACATATCTGATGGTTCTTCCAAAAGGCACTTAAAATGCTTTTGGAACTCAAAATTAATTTCACAAAAAACGCCTTCAGATATTTTAAAAACACTTCCAAACGAACTCCAAGTTATCAACAAAAGTACATCGTTGTTGATTGACGATGTAGACAACCCATACAACACATACAATTGTAGGTGCTCTCCTAACTATGCCATGATCCATCTATCCACACATCTTTTAAAAAAAGGCAGTGTGAAATGGACACCAAGTTCTTTGTCAATTGCGTACAATTGGAAGCAATCCAAATAAGATTATGAAACAGATGTACCGACAAAGGGTGGTGGTACCATATGATCGATACTTTTTTTTTAACTTCTACGATTTTTCTTGTGTTACGCGACGACTAATTAATAGGCTGTGAAATCAGTAGCTTAAATATGGATACTCTTGATATAAACAGGATTGGATTGGCTTTAGACTAATTGTGGGGATTAGCGTGGAATCATGGATTGATATGGCGAAAAAGGTTGGTTTAGTATTGCTGTGAAAATAAGTAGTTGTGAAATAAAGTAGCAGAGTGTTTGGTAAATTTTTTTGTAAAAGTGCTTTTGAAAAAAAAAAAACAGTATTATAGTGTTTAGTAAACTTTTATGTAAAACAGCTGTGCCTTTGTGAAATGACCAAAAAATGTATAATATTAGATGTGTCATTAATTTAATTTTCTTAACAAATATACTTAATTCTTAAACATTGAATTATATGTTTAAAATAAAAGCAACTCAGTACCAAACCAGTACTAAATAGTTTAAAATAGGGTAAATTATACTTTACCACCTCATGTTTGAGGTCTATTACAACCTCATACAACATCTTCAAAACATTTCACTTTCATACCTCACGTACTATTTTATTTCAATATAATACATTTGTTACATTTTTCATCCATTGATCTGTTAAGAGCTGACGTGGCTGCCACATTTGTGCCACATGGCAAAAAAAATAATTTTTTTTGCATTAAAAATAGGCATTTTATATTAGCACCCCACAAAATGTTGAATGTACCCCCACATTAAAATTTAATATTAATAACTTATTTACCCTACTATGCAATTACAATTTTGACCTTATTAGGTTTAAAAAAAATAAAAATTTTCTAAATACACCCAAAATCACTTTTAACGTATTATTTATCTACTTCAACTATCAAAACCCCTCCCACCCTCCATTGTTGAATAAAACCCTAAGCAATGAAACTACAAACATGTTGATTGAGAAAAAATATTTTTGACCGGAACATGAAATCGGTATTTCGAAAGCTTTACATGAGGTAAGACTTCATATTTTTCTTTGTTTTAATGATTTTGACGACATCAATAATTATTTAATCTCACTCAATCTAATAATTCAAGAATTAGCACTTATGAATCTCATAATTCAAAAACCATGGCATGCGAACTGATTGTAGATTGAGTCAATGGCATTCATAAGGTGCTTTCTTGCACTATTCTAAGATGTTTTCTTGCAGGTCGACTTGGTTTGACCAAAATATGCACAAGAAAATGGAAACAACATGGTAGCTTTGAAATCATTATTGTTGTTATTGAAAAACGTTCAAATGAACCTAAACATTTTTTTTTCAAATCATTCAATTTCAAATCATTCGGCAAACTAACGTTCAGATGATTTGAAATCATTCGGCAAAATTAAAAATGAGTGTTACAAGATTTGAGAAATGTGGGGGTGTATGTAGAAAATGTAAGGTGTATATTAAGAATGTGGGGTGTGAGGGTATTATGGGGAAGGAAGTGGGGTGTATTAAGATAATTTTTAATTAAAAAAGTAAATGTGTGGTGTATTAAGTATGTGAGGTTTATTTAACAACTTGTGGGGTGCTAATATAATTAGCCATATAATATTTACCCCATTTCATAAAAAAAAAAAATAAAAAAAAAAACACCAAACCCATAAATCGTCTTCCCCACCCAGAATCCCATGTCTTCCCCTTCCCCATCCCTAGCCGCATTCACCCAAATTCCTCTCCTCTTTAATCTCATCATCCCCATCATCAAAATTCTCAACATCCTCATCATCAAAATCCAAAATAAATTGGCTCTGATTATCAAACAATTCAAGAGGAACATCGACAAAAAAATGGTTGCATCATTCCTACCTACCATACTCGCACCGCGACCACAACCCACATCCATGCAACTGCTCTGCCCAGATCAGTTCTTGATCTGTTGCAGACTTGAAGCCAAGAAACCTGCCCCTGGAGCCTAAAATATGACGATCCACGAAGCGCCAGAAGAAAAACAACAGAGAAAATAGGGAAAAAAAGGAAAAGGATACAGAGAGAGACAGAAGAGAGAAACTGTGAGACTATGAAACGTTTTAGAGAGAGAAAGTAGAGAAGAGCGAAGAAGGAACGAGATCTAATCGTAGAGAAAAGCAAACGAAGCTCAAAGCTCGAAGCTCTACCCCTTGTGGTTGTCGATGTTGTAAGCCTAACTCTCTCTAGCTGATTTGCTGTGAGGGAGCCCTAATTGGAGTTTTGTGTGTAAGATTTGGGGGAAAAATTAGGGTTTTGTTAATTTCTGTTTTATTTTGTCGGATATGGGAATAAACCCTAGGATTTTGTGTGAGATTTGGGGGAAAAATTAGGGTTTTGTAGGCTATTAGATGAAGGGAGGGAGAAGAAATGAATGCGGCTGGGGATGGGGAAGGGGAAGACATGGGATTTTGGGTGGGGAAGACGATTTCTGGGTTTGGGTTTTTTTTTTTTTTTTTTTTGAAATAGGATAAATTTTATAATATTTTTAATGCATAAATTTTTTTTTGCCACGTGGCACAAATATGGCAGCCATGTCAGCTCTTAACGGATTATTAGATGGAAAATGTAACGGATGTATTATATTGAAATAAAATAGTACATGAGGTATGAAAGTGAAATATTTTGAAAATGTTGTATGAGGTTGTAGATAAAGTGTAATTTACCCTTTAAAATAAGCCCACCTAGGATAATCAACCAGAGCCCCACGTTTGGTCCATGGAAAAAAAATAAATAAAAAAATAAAAAAACATCCCCATTATGTATAGTGTTAATGCTATTTTCTAACTAAGGTTATCAACCAAGCAATCATTTTATATATTCTCTCCCAATCAAGACGAACCTATGCTAACATCATGGCATACAACTTCAAGTATATAGATCAACCTTATTTTAGGTAGTGGTGACGTAATTACTTAGTATTATGGTCTAGAATTTTCTTCTTCACTTTGTGATTGAGATCTTAGATTCAGTTCTCGCCAAAAGGCGAATTCGAATTAAATTATTATAGCTAGCATCGTAAAACTTACAGTCTCTAGTGTAGATAATATCGTATGTATTAAAAAAAACAAGGTAACGGTGACGTATGGTGGGCTAATGTGTTAGGGTAAGGTTTATGATAGGTATAGGTTTCAATTCCGTCCAAGTGTAATCCAAGAAGAAAAACACTTCAGATACTAAAAAGGCTCACTTTTTTTGAGCAATTTCATGTGTTGATATTTTGAACTATTTTATTGATTATCTTTCTTATTAATGGGAACTCTATATGCGTACTCGCCAGCCTCCAAACTTTAGAATAATATGAACATAGAAAAAGGGAGAGAATCATATGTCAATAATTTAATTAGCTGAAAATTTTGAAATTAATTAAGGAGCATTAGTACTCACCTGTACCCTTCTCTATCCATGGTGAGACCATGATCGTTGGAACCCTAACTCCCAAACGGTTGAACTGAAACAAGAAAGGCTCCGGCCCCACGATCCCGTCTGGGCTGGGGACCCCACGAACCGGCGTAGGGACGTGGTCATAGAAACCGCCATGTTCATCATACGTGATGATCATCAGCGTGTTGTTCCACTGAGGGCTTGCTCTCAGTGTCTCATACACCTCCTTCACAAACATCTGCCCGTGGTACACGTCATGGGAGGGATGATCATCATTTGCTGGTGCACTCTTGACATCGAAGTACCTCTGTTCTATGACGGTGTACCCGTGCAGTTTCCCTTCCTTTGCATGGCTCTTGAAGGTGTCGTACAAATGGAACTTACCTATGTACTTGAGCTTCCTCAGGTTCCTATAGAACAATGTCGATGGGATGTTTTGGTAGTATATTCCAAAGGATATTCCGGCGTCGTCGAGGTTCTCGAAGATGGTTCTTTGAGGGTACCCTTTGGCGAGAAGGGCTGGGATGTTGCTTGTTGCACCAGCTGATGTCCCTGAATGCACGTAGAGCCGATTTGGCTGGGTTGAGGATGGCACTGAGGCGAACCACCTTTACAAAATTCTTAGGTTAATTAATTGCTTGGGACAGCCAACTATAGCATGCTACTTACATTTTTGTATTACATTAGTGGTTACATTAGTGTACTACGTAATATGATAAATAATAAATAAGGTTGATGAGATAAACTCGTTACATCATTTGGCACAACAAAAAACAAATAGTGCACCAATGGAGTGGAATAGGATTTTTTTACCTCCAAATCTCTCTCCCGTTCAGTTCTCTCCTAGTTGGACGATTACGATTAAACCATGTAACATCTGAAGTTGCCTGTTTTTTTTAGGGAGTTTTAACAAAACACTCCCGGTACTATTCATTTTTAATGAAAAACCACATTTTTCCCTTTAACTGTCACTATTCATTATACTTTTAAAAATGACTTTTCGTTAAAAGATAAGTTTTTTTGGACTTTTCATTAAATTTTTTTTAATTTTTTTTTATAGAGAGTAAAATAGAGGAAAGTAAGAGAAGAGGGGACTGAAGGAGAGGATTAGAGGGGACAAAATCCTACTACCAATTGAGAACCTAAAATCTTCTCTAGCATGACATTTTCGATCAATAAAATGTATGTGGTTAATTGCCTTTGCTAGTTAGAGAATTCCTTTAAAACCCACTGCCTCTCCGTTCAAAGTTAAATTAAAGTAGTAGTCTCTTGTATATTTTTTTTAACAAACAGTATTATTGAACTAAGGAAATTAAGGATGAGAGGTTAAGTTAAGCCTCATAATGATTTAGCAATAATGTGGTTCAAATTCGTTTTTGACAAGAAACAGACCTAAGAACCTAAGATTTTTCACTTGTTAGTAAAAGAAATATTACTGTAATACTAAATGACAAATAATAATCTCTTGTATTAAAATAAAAAAAAATAAAAAGATAAAATAGTGAAAACAGCGTGCTCGATCGGATCGATCGGAAGTCATAATCTAAGAAACTACTAGTGCCAACCGCAATTATTGCATGGCAACCTACAAAAGTGGAACAAAATGAATTTGATTGACATTTCAGGACATGTTAGTTGTCTTGTTTTTATCGAAAATGTCATCACTTTACTACCACAGAAATTCATATTCTGGTAACAAAAATAGAATCCTGAATTTCACTGTTCTGGAAATATGAAAAAGTAAAGAAAATGAAAGCATTATCGTGAGGAGATTTTAATCTTAATACTCCTTTAGCTTAAACAATGAGACTAATTTGGTATTGTTGTGATTTAAAAAAAAAAATTATTATTATATTATGAGGATAAAAAATTGTAAAATAAAGTTGTTAAATATTTGTAAATTTTTTTTTTGTTAAAAGTGTTTTTCTAGAAAAAAAAAAATCAGAGATTTTAATCAAATGAAATTTCGTCTCATCTCTGTTTATTTTTACTTTTAGTCCTCTTTTTATTTATTCAATTTATATATACAAAATAAACATGAGAATGCAAAGAAAACGAAAATGTGAGAAAATCGCTTCCGGGATAAGAAAAGAATTGGTACGTAGTTACCTACCTGTCAAAGACAGCAAATTCAGAAACAAGAGTTTTGTAGACAGCAACCATGTCAGGGTTGAATCCATTCATAACATCCTGAGACAGGGCGGTGGTGTTGTCCATGGAGTAAGCCTGCTGAGCAAAGCCATTCATGGGTGGAGGGTCGGCCGACGTGTTATCCGACCCGAATATCTGCTCTCGGATGGCTTGGAAGGAGTGGCCAGGATCAGGGTCCACATAGTGAGACTCGTTGTTGAAGAAGAAGCGCTTGGAGTTGGGGTCGGTGGTGGAGAGAGGGTTGGCCTCGGAGCCATCCACGCCGTTGATTTCAGGGTTGATTTTCTTCATCCACCCCAGCATGTGGTCGAATGACCTGTTCTCCATCACCATAACAACTATGGTTTTGATGGGATTGGCATGGACTGGACTGTTGAGTCCTATGAGCAGCAGAAGGAGGATTGAAATGGTGGTTGTGGAAGCGGCGGCGGCCATTTCAGAATTATGGATTGGACTGGACCGGATTGGATTTGGTTTGAAGGACTTTATCTCTGTGCTTTGGTGAGTGATGTGATTAAATTAATCACTGTTGCATGGAGAGAGAGAGAGAGAGAGAGAGAGAGAGAGAGAGTTAGAAATGCGAGCCCGTGAGTAGCTGGTTTTATAGGGCAAGTGGTGATGGCAGGGGACGGTGCATTAAATAATTGACTAGATATGAATATATGATTTGAGACCACAAGCTTTTTCGTTTTTCTTGTTTTTTTTTGGGGTCGGGGCACCGGGACAAGATGTCACAGCCTCACTGTTTTTTTCTTTTACATTTTCGCTCCTCCTATTTGAACCATCACGGTTAAAACACGTCAATATTTTATATTGATTTTTATAGTAAGAGAATGACAAAATAAAAGAATGTAAGAGAAGGGGATGGAAGGGGATGAAAAGAAGAGGGAAGAGAATTCTAGTCTGCCTCACAGAGACTTTTAAAGATATTTACTCTTGAGATTTTATCTTTTCCTTTTTCTAATCTAAGGCGTGGTTCGGAGTATATAATTGAATTGAAATGAATGTGATACTATTTTAATGCATGCTAATGAATGAAAAGTTAATCAACTTAGAAGTAGTAGAGTGATTAGTGATTACTTAAGAAGAAAATTTATTTATTCAAATCGTCTCAAAATGGGAGAATTAGAAAAGAGCAATCAATATTCTTCATGATCCTCTTCTCAACTTCTCAAAATAAAAAATCAATCCAGTCTTTTCTACCAGACAATCTGTTTGGGCCTGATAATGATATTTTGGGCCGAGCTCAGATATTCTCGCCCTGATGGTGTTTATTTGGAATTTTGTTGTGGGCCTGCCCTGTCGAGGTTGGCCGAATCCTATTATGAAGAGGTTTGTTTGGGATAAAGGTGAAGTAATCGAGACCTGGTATATAAGGAGTCCCAGAAATACTGGGACTTGGGAAGTGAATTTGGCTTGTTTAAAAGGTGGGTTCAAAGTCCCAGTTGAATTAGGATTGGCCGAGTCCTAGTTAGATTAGGTTGAGGAATCCTAATCTAAGAATGGAGCTCAGCTATGAGAGATTGCTATAAATAGGAAAGAGGGTGAATCATTCCAAGCCCTCCAATTCATCACACAAAATTGCTCTGCGCAAATTCTCGCTCTACGCAAAACCTCTCAACAACCTTGAGATTTTTATTTTCCTTTTTCGCCAACACATCTTCAGTTTGGATAAACAGCACTGTGAAGGCAACTGGTGAACATCTTCAGTTTGGATAAACAGCATTGCTCTGAGACCAACTGGTTACCTATCCAAGAGGTCATCTCAGCAGCCTTCTCGGCGAAGTGAGGTGTTACCAAATTACTACATTCGGCACCCTGAGAGTCGAATTTGATATTCAACTTCGCAGAACTAGCAGCCTTGTCTTCAGGCTCTAGAGCCCGAAGGTCGAGACGTGTTCCTTTCTCGGCCACAATCGCAAGATTCAGAAGTCAACAGCATGCCCAACGCAACATTAAATCATTTTACTCACCGGCAGAGCTCAGCCATCGAGTTGGCACGCCCCGCACACAACCGAATGACGTAGTCAGCTTTTTAATTACTCGGCCTGTGCGCCATGTAGGCTTGATAGTTTTTAGGGTCAACACAATCCCTGATAAATTACAACAACAAAAAAGATGATGTAAAGGTAAATGGAAGATTTTCAATTTATAAATTTAATTAATATTTATGGCCAAATTTCTTGACTAAAATTTTCCTAGGAAAAAATGAAACATGAATTTCACATAATTCTTTTTAGTTTTCTGCACCGTTCTAAAAATTTCCACTTAGCGCCACCTAGGCGTTAGGCGGCTGACCGTCACTCCGATTAATTCTTAGGAGTTCGAACATTAAGAAAAGACGCCTAGGCACCCGCCTATGCCCTTAAAGCCACTCATTTGATTTAATAACTTTTATAATACTTATTAGGTTAAACTCTTATTTGTTTAATGGAAGGGTAAAGCTTGTTTTTAATCCCTATTTATTGTATCATATGTTTAAGTAGTTACAGAATCTGAGGAATGTAATCAACTTGAGAGAAAGCATCCAAGGAGTTTGGAGAGAACTTGAAGGGCCTCCACTTGGAGAAAAACTTGTGCGGGGCTTGGCTCGCTACTGGACTTTGCTGAGTAGCACTATAATACACTCAAAACTTGACATATGGCAAGTATTAAATATAATCTTTTATCATTATTTTATACTTAATATACTCATAGTTATTTTTCTTACTAATTAATATACACCATGAGATCAATCTAATGGTTCATTTCTTTCTTCTTTTGCTCTCTCTCTCACCTTTTTTTCTTTCAAATTTTTATTTGCCATCTTCTCCGTCTCTACTTTGTCTCTCCTCTCTCTGAATACAACTTTTTATTTTCAAGAAAGTGAATCTCCACCAAATATAATTGAAAACTATAGATAATACTATTTGAAAATTAAACTTTGATCAAAACATAAGTTGTGAAACGACCTTAATATTCAAAGTGAATGTAAAAGTTATTTTGACAAATCATCAACAAGCCAAATTATATAAATAAGATAAAAAAATATAAAGAAACCAAATAACCGAACTCAAAACCAAAACCCCCCAAATAAGAATAAAGAATTAACCTTCATACGCCTATATGTGTGGGTTATTCATGTCAAGTTCACATGATCAAATCAACTATTGTATAAGAACGAAAAATTGGTTGCTTATTATGATAAAAGTTGGAGAAGATGGCTTTTTTTTTGTTGCAGAATGTGTTCTGAAGAAAGCAAGATAAGTGGGAGAGAGAAGTGGGAGAGAGAAGAAAGTGAAAGTCCTACCGCTAGAGGGGAATTTTGCTAAGAAAAAAAAGGGGGAAAAGAAGAAAGAAATGAACCATTAAATGGTGTATATTAGTTACGAGGAAAAATAACTATGAGAAATTTTAATATAAAAAAATGTTAAAAAATTATATTTAATACTTGTCACATGGCAAGTTTTGAGTGGATTGTAGTGCTACTCAGCAAAGTCCAATGGTAAGCCAAGCCCCATACAAGTTTTTCTCCTCCATTTAGGTGATAACCTTGTGAATACAAGGATGAGCTTCAAGGGTAATGAAAGCTCTATATGTCCTCTCTTTAACTCGTAAAGAGTCATGATTTACCCTTCACTAGGCTTTGTAGTGTTAACACTACAACCCTTCACAGGAGGACCTCAACCTTTCTTCCTTCCAGTCCAAGGACCAATACAGCTACAATAACATGAACTCAGGTCCGAACCTTCATCTACGTAACAATAGACTGCTTCATTGCCACATCAAAGTGAAGTCTAAGTTCTTGAATCCTCATCTCTCTAAATTTCCATACTTTAAGCAACAAAGAGTCTACCCAAACCTGCTCAGGTGTCATCTAAAGCTAGCACTCATTTGTTGACAGCTCTAACTTGAGTTAAAGGGATGGCACAACCTTGGCTAGTGATTAGGCCCTCTCTAAACCATGTTACCCTTCTAGCGAATGTTAGCTGACTTTGAAATATGGACTTTGTCAAGCTCTACTTGGCGCCGTAATTGCCTTGGCATATTACATGAAAGTTCATACATTCTTTGAGGATGCTTTGATGCGATGTCATGAAAGCCTATACATGGTAATCCCTCTCTCTTTTTTATAAGACAACTTTAGTAAATTTGCTATTCTTATTCCCTTACTTGTGTTGATCAAGCTCACATCTCAACGAAGGCGACTCTTTTTTGTCAAACAAAGCTAATTCGTCAGCTTGAAAGGTCTTCTTTCCATGAATCGAAGGTCAAATCGCAACTTGAGCAATAGTTACAAGCTCATTCTGCTGAACTCAAGAGGGTTCAAGCAGAACTACATGCCATGAAAGAGGCTCATGAGGTGGAGGTGGAGAAACTAATAAACCAAGCCACATTTGAGGAGATTAAGGTGAATGATCGTCAAGCAGCTCTTACCAGGGTGTAGGGAGAACTGGAATTGGAGAGTAGAGCCAAAGTTGAGGTGGAATAAGCTTGGCATATCTTGAAGCTGAATTGAAAAAGGTGCTTTCCTTGGAACGGAGTGCTTGGGAAAAGGAGCGGACCAGTGTTCAGTCAGAATTGGATAAATTTCACCGCGAGGCTGAATAGAATGATGGCGTGCACTTTGCAACTCTTTAACAAATTAATAATAAGCATAAGTCAAAACTAGTAGAATTGCATACATCCTTCAAGAAGACGTCCAGAATAGAATATGTGGAGGGGACATAACTTTGAGTATATCTCTGGTTACACGCGACGAGATCACCTCGAATGTTAGGATGTATATTGGATTCTAAAAGAAATATGAGAAGCTGAACTTCCTGATCCAGAAGACTTAAGGAATGAGATTTCGGATCTTGAGGCGTCCAAAGAAAAAGAATCTATCTTTAGTGGTGATCACCAACTGGGGCTTCGGTGAATCCTTTAACTGTTGCTAAGGTGAAAGTTATTGCCAAATAAGGTCATTAATAATGCCTTCATTAGTTATTTGATTTCCAAGATGAGGACCATATTTCATCCATAACTCGAACATCTTTGCCCTGATAATGGGACTCATGCTTTTCTTCTCTCGTTGTGCTTTGTTAATGAATGGGTGACCTTTATGAATGATATTTATGCTTGCGTTTGAGCAATTCTGTCCAAACAACTAAATGCTTGGAACTTTCGATCTTTTGCTACTATATTGCAAAATATAGTTTAATGTGTCAATCTTTCCAAAGTAAGCTAACTTCAAAGTAATGAGTAACATAACGGAACACGAGTAACCTTGTGGGCTTGATAGAGCTCGAAGCCCCCTTCGTAATCTTGATTGAAAAAAAATACTACCTCCCCAACTTAGTGCTCATACAGATTCCTATCGCAATAGCCGAAATACCATCTGACTCCGATATCAAGTATTAAACCCATGAAAAATCTTTTTCTTTGCACTTGCCTTAAACTTTTGCTCTGGACTTGCTTTAGTACATTGATCGAATTAAGAATGGGAAAGTGTCACCTTATGTCTGGAATGGCCTTCAGCCCTTGTCTCATTTTTGTCTGTTCTTCTTGCCCTATTTTAGGGTCGAGGGTTTTGGTGTTTACAATGTGACT